TTGGCTGAGGCCAGGTGGTCCAATATGTCTGCGCCCTAATCCGACGCCACACCACACCACACCACTACGCCACACCGCACTCCACGTCCGAAATGAACGCTTCCATCGCGCCTAACCGTGACCTTTTGCATCCGAAGTTTGAATCCTATAAGCTGTCTCTAAAATCAGCCCTTACATTTTCGGCATCGGAGATCGAAAGTCTCATGCATATATATGCTTATTTTTATGCTGTTTAGGCATCGACCTTAGGTTCCTCCCTCCAAATGCTTTTTCTAAATTGGAAATCCAATTATCATCGCTCCATAATTGTTTATTTCAGGACAGGTTTTGCCCTAGTCACTTATTTTACATAACATCAAGTGGGAAGGTATCTTTTTTACCTTGAAATTTATTTGTGTCATAAGGTCAAGTGCGTAATCATTCCGCAAAGCAAGGAGCATTTTCAAAGCGGCAGAACAGTGTTTGTGATTCCTGCACAAGTGTCAACTAAAAGGGTTTCTGCCTGCAACGTTTCTTTAAAGTTCCTACAAGATTATGTGTTACTTGCTGATGGTTTTCGTGGGCTGTACTTAATGGAGTCTAGTGAGCGTCTTTCGGACATATTTCCTTGCTGGGAGGTGCGTGTTGTGTCACCCATAGTTTTTTCCAACTTTTCGAGATAATTGTTTACTGGGCTCCTGTATGTTCAGGTTGTCTTTGAAAAGCAGCTTGATTTGGCTTCAGAATCCGGTTATCTGATTGATGCTGTTCAAACGAAAACCGCTGCAGGCGAACCCCAAGTAGACTGTATCCTGCTTTCTGTGATCAAATCCAATGGAGAGAAATCATGTGTTCATATTGATTGGTTTACAATTGCATGTGAGTTTGGTCGTATCAAGTACTTTACTTCTTTATCTTTATAAATAACTTATTTCATTTTTAAGGTAGCTCAAGTGAATGGCGTGTGTCACGTCTTCGGCGGCTTGCTTGCTCTGTTTTTCCAGATTATGTTGCTTTTGAAGGTGGCCCATTTACGTTAGCAGTTCGCTCAACCCAGCCCCTGGTGCCTCTTTTTGATTCAGCAAAACCAGCCATTAATTCACTGACACCTAGTTCTTCCCCTGTCGAAGTCGTGGCTAGTGACTTGGGTTCCACGGTTTCTCGGTTCACTTGGACGCAGTCACTTCCTTCCATGCCGCAGGGTGACAGTTGTCTGCTAAATGTTCTTGTGAAGTTGAGCGATAATCAGCAACTTGCCAATCCAAAGACAGCCATAGATGTCGTCTGCAGACCATGTGAAACTAGTGCCGATGGCGCCAATATGAAATTTCATCGATTAGAACTACGCGTTCAGACGGATAAAGGTTCCGTTCAATTGTGCAACGCACGTCTGTTTGCTCCTATTCGTCCAAGCAATACAATGTGGACGTACGACCGTGAAACGAATTGGTAAGTAGTCATTACTTGAAGTCAAGATTTTTCTCCTCATATGCATTTGCGTACGGCCCCGCGCCTCCTGGATCGGAGTTGATAAATTGGCGATAGTTTTTCAGAAGATTATTAAGCATGCCGATATTTGTGGCTTTGATTTTCGGTTTCAAATGGTACTTTGGCGTGTGATTTTATTGTGTGAAATTTATGGTTCTACCGCCTCTCTTCCAGTTCAGATATTGTTTCCTCATGTATTTCAGTGTTGCCTTTCCGTACTTTTAACTTACGTTATCGTACGGTCAACAAAATTCGTTTGTTAAATGTCATCGCAGTTAAATAAAAACAGCAATATTTATTGTCCTTTTCGCCTTTTTATGAGCAGTAATATAGTTGCAGAAATCATCAACAAAGGCGGCCTTGATTAATTTGTTACTCAATGTGTGTTAGTAAAAACCTTTTTTTGACAGCATCGATATTACCTTGGTAAAGGAAGAAGCAGGCACCTGGCCACGTCTGTTTGCCGAGCCTGATGAGGAGATGCGTTTGGGAGTCCGATACGACGATGAGTCATTGCCCGCAGTTACTACCAATGCCCCTGATGAACCAATGCAGAGCTGTTTTAACGTGGAGCAGCTGGAAGATGTGGACATGGTTCAGGAGGCCGATGACGAGGAAGCAGTTATGCAGCGCATTGATGGGGAGTCGCTGAAAACCGTCTTGAAGGTTAGTTACGGTACCTTTGCCTCACTTGTGCCCCTTGGTTGCAGACCGTTTCAGGCCATTTGGTGTCAACACAATTGCTTTTGCTAACATGTTGTTGGTGTAAATATATTACTTAACCTTACTAGTCATTTATTTTATCGCCGACATTTCAGAATGTCTAAATTGAATTATTCCTGTTGCATCGGAACTCTATCGTGCACTTTTTCCGCACAAAGAACGTTGAAAATACGAAAAGCCATGTTGCTCTACAGTTCACAGAGGTGCTTTTGGATGTTGAAGTGCGAAACTACTTTATAACAAACTTTTAAATAAAAAAATCTTACTCTTTTGGTCTGTTTGTCATCCACACCACACGATATGACTTATTTGCGCTGAATTGTGAGTTTTCCAGGTTTACATGGGCCTTATGTGTGCCTTAACCGCATAGTCTGCCAAAGCCTCGTGTGCCTGTAGCACGCGGGAGCTAAACTCCCATCCAACGGTCGAGTCACGCCACAACGCATGAATGCCAAGTTTTAGTACGACCCATATTAACTGTATGTCGGTGGTGCCGTTCGTGTTTTTGTTTTTCTCTCCCTAAGGGACCTCTTCAATCCACTTTGCTCTATGTACGAGTTTGAGTGCACTCTGTTGGATCGTGTTTGGAGCCAAAAGAAGTCAAATGTTTGGTGTTCCCATTTTGACTGGCCAATGCAGTTATGCTTCCGTTTTTTGTGTTGACGTCACTCTGATCCGCTATCTAGGAATTAGGATAACGAAGGTTGAAGAGTCGAATGTTGTGCTGTCCCTGGTCCCCTTTGAATAGCTGAGTACTTTTCCGCTGCTGCTCCAGACAAAAACACTATTTGTGGACATTATTGACGAAATTACCTTACTTTATTTTTGACTAGGTGCTTTCTATGTTTAAGTGTTTCCCTTGATTCGTTTCTGTGTAGGCTGAAATGATTGGCCATCAAAAGCTATATGTGGCTCTCACGTCTCCTGTGGAAAGCTCCGTTAACCAGCCCTCGCAGCTTCTCTGTACCCGTTACGACGTGGACGGTCTCGTGTGGGCACCCCAGCCGGACAACCAAGAACATCCCTGGGTCCACGTCGCTACGCTTCAGGCCTTCGGTTACGTTCTTGCGAGCAAGCAAAATCGTCGTTTCGTCGCTTCACCGCCACTGGACGTCTCCCAGTTTTCACACGTACCTTTTGTTGCCGTAACTGATATGTCGCGGCACGTGTACATATACTGGCAACCAAATCCAACGAAAGACAGTTTGACTGAATTGAGACATAGGCAGCTGAACAACGAAGAACTGGGTTCCGGCGTCGTCCACACGTCCTGGCAGCAGGTCGTCTCTCTCCCGGACGCCGAGGAGGTCATTGGCTTCGCTGCTGTCGCGACGAACCCCTACTCTGCGTGCGTCGTCGCAACCAGGAAAAACTTGCACCTGATTTGTCTTGATGAGGAAGACCAATGACCTATGCATGGATGGGCCTTTTTAAATTTTTTTTAATTCCCTACTATATAACTAATGTCCAACTTTATTTCTTTGTTGTTGTGTGGGGTATGGCTTGCACGAATATGCTGTATACTGTCCCAGTGTTGGCTGGGCCTAATGTTGTTTGCGTTGAATGTAGGTGGTTTCCTTTCTAACCATAGCTTATGTGAACTAGTCACTTGTCAACGTAGATAATATTTACTCATGGTTTCATCTAGGTGACAAATGTAATCAATGTGTTCGCTTTTTTATTACGAATACACGTTGTAATTTGATGGTTGTATTTGTATGCACCTGAACCAAAAGCTCTTCAGCAACGCAGGTTGTCAGTGGTGGAATCGTGCTGATACACTGTTACATGGAGCTGATTTCTACGGGTAGAACACTTCACCTGAATAGCAGATCGAATTCTAAGAGTGACATTTGTCACGCTTGGCCATTTTAGGAACCAAGGCAATGTCATAAATGAAGCATGGTGTGATAGTTTGTCCGTCGGTTGGAGTCTGCATCTCGGAGTAGTGATGAAGAGCTGCTTAATTCTGAAATTTCGCCGTTGGTTAATAAGCGTTAGGGTCTTCTACAATTCAAAATATTTCCGCAAAAAATCGCAAAGTAAGGTGCTATTATTTTGCTAATGTTGTGCACAAAGTTCCAGAATGTGCGTGTTGGCAGCTTAAGTTGTTGTTGGCGTCTCACAAATTTGAGCAGCTGTTCAGATACCACGTGGTTCCGCTGGTCCCACGGTGGATTCCTTTTGCTTTCTACATTTCAGTGAGCCATTGTTGCATCGCTTGTGAAAAATTTTTTAAACGGCAATCCTCGTATTGCGGCAGAGCCTGTTGTTATTCAAGAGACTGGATGTGTTCAATGAAAGTGGAGCAACTTTTCTTGCCAAAAATTAGCGTCGCTGAGGGCTCCATTCACATAGGCCACATCTACCAGCTTGAATCTCTGATCAAGTACCTCATTGTAGACCCCTTGTTAGTCTTAGTAAAAACATATCTTGTAAGTCTAATTAACTGCTAAAATAATAGCTTGCTAATGCAATTGAAATTAACTTCGGTAGCCTGTCCAATTCACTCCTTGGGCCAGTTTCCATGGACACATGAGCTTAGAAAGTCATGGGTAGAAGTTTGTTCGAGTATCTACCAATTTAGAAGTAATGCAAGAAAATTAATACAAAAGGTCAAGGTAATGGCGTGTTGTATTTCGTGTGTCAGCCGTATGGCTGCTGATTGTGAGTCAACAGCTTCGACGCACACGCCTCATCCAAACACCACGAGTATTACTTTGCGAATAGAGCACAAGGAGCAACAAAGTTCACTTGATTTCTGGGTCACTAGCGTTTAGACAACACAACCACTTCCTCACTGGCCGATCAGATAGTACACCTATTAAAAAATAAAAAAAGGCAAACTGGTCTACTTAAACATGCCAATCCTAGCATTCCCGGATTTCGAAGAAGCACCAATATACGCAGTCAATAAAAAGCAGCATTTAGTTTTACAGCCGAGTGGTGCTCAGTGGGCGGGAGTTCAGTAAATGTCTCCCTGTTTCAGAGGCACTGGAATTCAACCTATTTTAGTTAAAACGGAAGCGCATACCTGGGTAGCGAGGCTCCAAAGGAACTTGCATTTGGTGCCCATGTGAATACCATCCAGTTAACCCTGTCACAGCAATACGAAAGCGCAACACCACCTCGGCCTTGTGTGTGTGAGAGAGAGAGCTTCATTTCAAGCCAAGCGCTCAGGTGCGAAAGCGCGCCATAAGCAGCGTGCTGTAGTGCGTGCTCACTCGTCTGTGTGTGTGCGGTGCGTATAGCGGACCAGCTTGGAGGGGTGGAAAATCGATATTCTAATGAGACTGTCATGTTAGTATAGCGATCTGGTGTGAGCTTGGTGTAAACACAGCTTCCTGAGTCAGTCGGATTTTGGGTTGCCTAAACTCCGATTACTCACAGCTTAGGAGCTTTACAAACACATTTTCCTATGAGAACGAAACAGTTGCGTCGTCGGTTTGATGCAAACAACGTGCCCACCGCAAATTTCGTTTGATATGAGACAAGGAACAGTCGGTGGGTTACGTTATTGAACAGTGTGCCTTGTATTAGACCCCAGTGGTCACGTGCTCCTATGCATCTGGTCAAAGTACTTCCGAATTAATTTCAAATTTTTAAGGATTGTAATCTGAATCTGGTATCCTTGATGGTTTGCAAAATGCTAAAAATGAAATTTACAGGAATATGGTTAACAATACCATTAGGAAATCCCAAACTAGACTTAATGTCAGTTTATAAGAGGTGAAAGATGCTAACTTGAATTGCTTAAAAAGGCGTATTTAAAGTCTGATTACAGTAATGCTAATTCTCTTAGACATTGGTCAAATTATGGCCAAATTAACTAGTCGACGAAAACTGACATTTTAAAGACTTTTATTTGCGTTTGTTTGCTTGAATAAAGTGCAAAACGAAAAATTTGGTGCTGCATGAGCATATCAAATATCTCTTAACCCCAGATGCCAATGTAAGAAGATCACTATAAAAGGAATAAATATGACTTTGTTAGATTGAAGCTATTTAAACGATCGAGTGTCTCCAAATGAAATGATTATTTTCACCCGACCTGTTAGTGCTTTCGGCCGCCTACATAATGCTGCGGTGATGGACAGCGAATTATGACAATTTTGGTTCCGGCCTGAAGACATCACATAGGCAGCTTTTCCTGGTTTATGTAGTAACCAATACTTGCACTAATGATAATTTAGAACCCAAGGAATCAGGAGCTAAAGTGCTCGGTAGAAATACGGAGACCGATTTTTAACTTCAGACCTTTAGCCGGTCCAGCCGATGAGGTCTGCATTCTGTAGTGATACCATGAATATCCCATAGGTGAAACCTGATACAATTTGCGTCAAATGCCACACTCGTGTTATTGCAAATCATTAAAATCTAGAACTTTTGCGTAGTCAATTTGTGTCTTTTTCAACTAGGAGCCCAAATATTAACGCAGTCCTTCAAAAGAGAATTTATGGTGTGTGAAATCCTGTCTGTTCCCAGGCACGACAGATGCTTTCTTAAAAAAATTAGGCACCTTTTATGTCAAACTAATCTTTTAAGGCCCTTAGAGCTACAGCATGGTATTCTGAACCAATAATCAGGAGTCAATTTAATGCTTGCTTTCGAAATTATTACTACCGGACTGCCAATATTTGCTAATCAGTCTGCTAGTTAGGGCGTGAGAGTTTTATTGATAAAAACGACAAGTTGTGCACTAAGCAATAGATCAAAATGCTTAGTGCAACCCCAATGGGATTCGCCCGGAAGCGACTGGTATCTGCACCACGCCACCACACACAACTACTTCCTGAACATGGTTTCCATTGTATTAAATACAATGGGACAATGACCCTAGGAGATTCTCTAATTCTGGTGACTGAAATGAAGCAAAATACTGCTGTTTCACTTATTAGTCTTGAACACTACACAATGCAAAACAAGGCACTTCTTTGAGTTGTTTCACTGCATGCTGGAAGCTTTTCTGATCTTGAAAAGAAACCCTCGATCGAATGAGGATGGAGTCCCCTGTGTTTCGTTTCTGAAGTCCTCCTTACGGTGACGGCGTGAGGTTCTCATCTGGTTAATGCAAAATCCGACCCCATAACATGGACCTCATCTGAGCTCTGATCACACAATCAGAAAAAAGCGACGATACACTTGGTGAAGGACCCACTTTAACAGCTAGCTCGTGTGTACCGTGGGTACGCAAGTAACACTTGACTTAACTAATGACAGTAAATCTGTGAAATGACGCTGTAGCTTTAAATCACTTTGGTCTGACGGCAACCTTCGAGAGTAATTCCATGCGTTTAGAGAATGCACATCTCATGGCAGGACTCAATAAGGTTGCTAAGGGAAGCGGAATCAACTCGACCTCATTCCAGTGGAGCCTGTCTACGTTTATTTAACTTATTAAATTACAAAATCAGTGTGAATATATGTAGTAAGGCGGACCAACCTCCCTTAGCTCTGCGATGTGTACCGGAAAATCGGATTTTACGAAAAAATCTCACAAATGATGTGTTGAAATAATTCGTGTCCTCTTAATCACAGACGTATTATTTCTATTAAATTATAGTAAGAAATTTATACCGTACAGAATAAGTTTTATAATTGGCGGTTGAGTGATCAGTCCTGAAAAAGAGCAACTCTTGGCTCAATCAAAGGCTGATTCTTCTGGCTTTCATCAAGTTGACAACAGGGTAGGCTGACTGTGTAATTGCCAGTTGTTCTCAACCAATCTAACCAGAGTGTGCCGCTTATTGGTTTATATGTGCTTATGTGCAGCAAAGCAATTCAGAGATCATGTTGGTTGCCTAACTCCTAATACTCTGAACGCACGCGTTCTCAAGGAGATTCCAAGTCTTGAGTACTCGTGAAATTGGTTATTCAGCGATAGTCGGAAACTTCAGATTCAAAAACCTCCGAATCAAATGAATACACAGGACAATACGAAGGCCCTACAAGCGGAATTGGAGAAAAAGACGGAGGAGAATGCTAACCTCAAGGCAGAACTTCAGGAGGTCCTTTCACGTGTGAGTCATGATCACAAATATTAGGCTTATTGATCGATATTTTCATTTATTACTAACTTTTCAAATTTTGCCACTTGGTGAGACTTTTGACTGAAATATCCGGCACGCCGGATAATGCTTGTGCATGCAACTAAACTGCCACTTCTAGTTCCTGCTGCAATTCATTTAGTCTTTGGGTAATAAAAGAATTACCATGTACAACTGATGAGTGCAGTTTTCAACGCTGATCTATGAAATTCACTGTAATTTACTTGGTTTAATCAAGAGAATTAGCTGTTTCACGACAAAACATTTCATAGAAAAATGCGAAGATTGTGAAAAAAAATTAAGCTGCCGAAATCACTTGACAGCCTTCCCAGTTATTAGTAACTGCACAATTTTCTAAATAGTTTTTGAGACATAACTCCACACAGTTTATTTCGTAATGCATCTGCGATTCAGCATAATACATGGTGTAAAAATGTCTGACTAAATATTCAATTTTCCTTAAATTTGAATCCATTTATTAACAAAAGTACTGAAGAACATCATTGGAACCGTCAGCCTAAAGATACTGGTTTTTGTGAGCAGTTTCCTTAATTTATGTACTTGTCAATGGACCTACAACCTGGCGAAATTTTAGTCTACATGGCCAATTCGGCTTGAACGTGCGGATTTGTAATGTGCAGTTTCGATCTGCTATGAAACACAAAGGTCATGTACTAAGTTACATCGAATCACAGATTCTCTTAAAGGTATCAACGTAAAACGGACTCGGCTTCTCAAACCCTCACACGTCACTTGACTTTTGGTGACAATGACGTGGCTTACTCGTAAGGTCCTGTTATTGCCTTTCTTAATTTCTTCAAAAAGAAGAACCTATTTAGTCCTTTATTATTATTATTATTTAACAATCTTTCTACAAGTAATCATGACAGCTCTGACCATTTTAAAATCTCGAGTCAATTCACCTCTTCGTGATCAGCAAGCCACAGGAACTACCAAATGACAATGAGTCAATGCAAAACTATCATTTCTTGCCAAATAGTTCATCACAAACATTTTAGCGTAACGCCAATATGAAAAATACCAGGGCAGATAATTTGGTATGTTATCTAGCCTTTGAGCCGGCGTTTAGCTCCCTGTTTTCACCGTCAACTTGATCAAAGGCACTAATCCACCCAATAGCATGGTTGTTTGCTGAATTTGTGCAATTCGGGAATCTTGTTTGCTGACAGCCGTTGATCTGCCTGATTTACCCGGTTGTCGCCACCTCGGCAGCACCCCGTGCACGCCTCCTAGAAACTGTCAGACAGAGCAAACTTTAAAATGCATGCTGCAATAGACCAGCCTTGTTTTCTGAGAACCATTACCACCCCTCGCGTTAAACCAGTCATGTCTGTAGATCGTGTGCTTTGAAAAACAGTGAATTTATGCATTAACTTTAACTCATATTTTCGTTTAAAGCTCATTTTTAAGTAACAAAATCTGAATTGTGGATTCATCATAAAATTGACATATTAGTTTCTCGTGAACAGTGATTTTTATTTCTGTCAGGAATCTTGCATTAACGTGGAATTTTTCATGGTAATATTGAAGGCGGTGGAGCCTAACTCACAACATAGTAATAGTAACGAATGAGTCATGCAAAATTCTAAGTGCAATATGCACTGGCTTTGTTAACGTCACAGTAGCGTTGCTGTTGTCACGTCATGCATTACTAATCCACCTTCTCAAAAGAATTTGATTGTAAGGCGCTAGGTTGACTAAGCCCTTTGCTCGAATAATTAGACCACTACGATCAGCAGACACTAAGTGTGCGAGGTCCATGTGAGGCAAATTAATGGCTACTGCTTAACAATTTAGACACGGACCAGTCATACTCCACGTGGAGCAATTTATAAAAAAATCACTACCAATTACAAAGAGCTTGCATTTCGTTTCGCGGTAAAAAAACTTGGAGGTGCGGATGAAAGAAATGGTTATGCAGATGGACGCGTGAATCATCCAAAAACTTTAAAAATTGTGATTTACATACCGCTATCGGAATGTATGTAAGACACTCCAGGTGTTTTCAACTGACTTTGGTTCATATTTCTTAAATTATACCCAGAATCAATTAAAGTCCAAATTAAGTGTTGACATGAAAATTTCGGGAAGTCTTGCTGTGTGGTGAAAAAATGTTTCGAAGCTAATCTTTGCTTTGCAAGGAAGACAACTTTAAACAGTAGTAATCCCTGTAAGTAGTTTACATAGAGGGGACTGTTAGATATTTTGGACAGTCGATTGATTTAAGAGGTTATTTTTATCACACCTTTGTCAGCCCATTCTTTCGTCTCTAAGATTGATGTGTAATTTTACCTAGGACTCCAAACCATGTGCAAGAATTTACCGAATTTGCAGTATCAGCGGTTTTAAGGGTCCAAAGGCTCTAAAATAAGTTGACAAGTTCACTTTACTCATTAGAATTTAAAGGAACACTCACAAACTTAGGCTAGTCTGCAAATGTGACATCTTGGCTGAAATAAATTCGGAGTCAGATAGAGTAACCCCTATGCATGGTTTGAGTGGTTAAGTAGGTTGACGCTGGCAAAAGATTTAGGTTCGTTTATCGTACATTTATGTAATTTACTGTAGTGCTTTGCTTGGGCTTTCTTTTATCTATTCATCTGTAGTTCTGATATCCCATTGTAGCGGTTGCTGCTAATCACGGCAAACATATGCTCCTACAACCATGAATCAGAGGTGCTTAAGCTAGGACTAATGCAAAGGGCAAAGAATCAACACGGGCAAGTATGATTAATGAGTGCCTTTGAGGTCAGAAGTCAGAACTTTATGAAGTGACCCCATGCGCGGACTGGTACTTCTGGTCACGGCGTCCTCAATTTTCTCCCGCACACAATAGTTTGTGATGTATTCAAAAAAGTGCAAACTCAGACTAAATGCCAGTACCTTTGTAACCGTTTTTCAATCAAATTACCGAACCTCTAGCTACGCGAAGTTCAAACATTTTTACTGCAGGTAGTTCTGCCAGGCATTTTTGGTAACATTTTGTAAGTGAGTTACTTGCAATCATACTTCCTAAATGTATTCGGAGTGTAAAATAAATGCACCATAATCCATTAATTTTGACAGTTTAAAGATCTAAAAATCAAGGCCGAACGTCGGGCAAGGCTACTACACCATGTGATGTCGGAGTACAATGCCATGACAAAGGAATACGACATAATGAAAGTGGAGACCACTACGTTGCAGAGCAAGTCCAATGAAATGTATCAGCACATTTTGAGCCAGGATACGAAGATTGAACAGCTCGAACAAAGTATTCAGGTATTAGAGGCCGAAAATAATGAGCTGAGACAAAGCAGGATTATCGATGCTTCTACTAAGCAGTAAGTCCACGTGATTTGATGGGGTTCATCTTTTCAATGTGAATTTAACATTCACGGCGTTAGATAAAGCTGCTTTTTAGGGCATATATTTTTAGCGTGCCATAACTAAAGTGTAAAACATTGCTGTGGGCTTGTAGTCATCGTAAACACTGGCGTAGAATACATCCAATCAAATGCAGTCTATTAGTTGTGCATTAGTGTTCAGAACAGCTTTGCTGTGCATGGTGAACGCACATGACGACTCATAGAACTACTGCTGTGACTAACATGCTCGTGCTAAGCATGGCAAAAGCATGGCTTGTTAATAAGAAAACCTGACTATACTTGCTCGATTTGTGTTGAACAGGAAAGCACAATTTGGCAAATTAACGGGAATTTGTACTTATTAAATGGGTTTGTCGCCAAAATGAAACCTCACACCACGGACAAGAACTTTACCAGCATGAGTATTCGCGAATTAACTGAAGGCATTATTCAAAGTAAGGCAAGTGGGCAATCGTAAAAGCATAATCACACCATTTTTAGAGTGGGTAGCTAGAAATGTAGGAGCAAAGAATCAGATGCAGTGACAAATTTGGTTAGGGAATTATTAAATTTCGGGTTTTCCGGTTTGTCGACTCTGGATTTTTATTAAAGGCAATTTGGACTACTGTAAATACCAAAAGGGCAAAAGAGAAAGTTAGTACGGAAAATTCTTGCAATTGTTTCACGTTTGTGCTGCTTGTGAGGCTTTAGAATGCATTCGAATAAGAACCTTCATTAAAAGCCTAGCAATACGGCACTAAGTCAACTTGAATAACATAACCACCTGGGTCACATGACATGGACATCAGGGAGACCAAGCGAAATGCTCCATTGGTACATTGTATCATCAAGGTCTAATCACGAGATGTCAAATTGTAACCCTACTTTGCGACCACGCTACTTCAGTAAATCGCGTGACTTCAAGTACACATGTAAACTGTTATTCTCATTGTCATTTTCGGATTTTAGTTACAGTTTTTACTCGTGGTTTCTTTAGACTAATTAAGCTATGGCCCAATTGGAGCAATTTAACGTAATCCGCGATTTGGCATTAAATTATTTACTACGTGAAAATAAAAAAAAGGTTCATCAGTGCTAAATCTACCAGGTTCGAATAATTACGGCAGTCTCTTTGTAGTGGGTTAAATGAAGTAAAGTTCCCAATGAAATTCGGTAATATTCACCATAAAGTATTATTATCTACTGACTGCAAATTATAACAAGCAGATTCAGTTTTTGAAATTATGTATTCTGCAACCCATAATGTATTATTATTATTATTTAAACCAGACCCAGGTCCTAGTCGTGTGCCAGACTCAACTAACTGACGATAAGATTCGGCCTTACGTTAGCCGTCACGTAGACCAAACAAATGAATTCGACAAAACTGTGTGCAAAGTCGTGTGACCTGTTCTTTTTAGTTTAAAAATCAGCATTTGAAAGTTGAGCATGTTAATTTTTCTATTTTTAGATGGTATGGCGAATGCACGCACAGCTGTTCGAGGCATCCCCGAACTTACCCCAACCTCTCTGTTCACAGGCATGATGAGTTAACATGCTTTTGTGTCTCCGCGCCTTCTTTGTTCACAAAAAAACAGCTTAAAACTGTTAAGGAGCAATCGCATTTTTGGTAAAAAAACGGCTGAATTAGGATTTGTTTGCATCGTTATTTATCAGAATTCTAAAAATATTACCAAGATAAAACTCGTTACTAATGCCTACTTGCCATAACTTCGTGTTGATCCTTATTCTTTGGTGAATGTAACATGAAAAATAATGTGTCTGGCATAGAACCGTCAATCTCTGGGACATGTTCCTCTAAGCAGCCGCATTTTCAGTGTGCTTTAACGCAAGTATTGCGCTGCTTTACAGTACATGACTAATCACACCGGCAGTCTACTTGACTAATACCCTTTGTGCGTCTTTATTCAAGTCACACTGGTGTAAAGATTCCGGACGAGGAGACGTGTCCGCCGTGCGAGACGTGCACCGAGGCCGAGGCCTGGGCTGAGGGCCTGATCAACAGCCCCAATAAATTCAGTGACAGCCTACGCAGACACTTTCAGTCAACGCTGCCGGTTCGTTCTCGAATGCCGTTGCCTCGGCAAAGTTATGGCACTTCGACAATGACGTCCACGCCTGCGTCAACCCTTCGTTTCGAAGAAATGAAGAAGCCTGTTGCTGAAGTTTCACAGGGTTCGTCGATCCTCTCAAGTGGAGCGAGGAAACCTATTGGTTCCGTAAAGATTTTGCAAGGATCACTGCCTCAAACTATGGTGCTTCCAATGGATTCCCCACTCAAACTTTTACTTCACATCGTTTGCTATTTCATACCTCAGGACACCACTTTTAGACCAAGCATGCTATATGACTAGTTGGAAGTCCACTGTGAGTGGATGTGAAGCTGGAGATCAGGCTACTGCAGTATCCATCGACCTTTAAAATTGCTAAATTGATTTCCATTTCCGGAAGGCCCGAATTAAAGTCAGCGACTATTAAACATAGGAATAAGTTTTACCGAACAACCACACGCCGTTGATATCTTGCTCAAAAAGCTGTGATCGCTAATGTTTGCTACTTTGAAGAATGCTAGAAGTATTAATTTGACGGGGATCTTTATGCATCTAAACCTATGCATATTTTTGGAATATTCTTAGTCGCAAACCAAAAATTTGTAATTAAAATAACGCTTTTCGTACATTTTAGATGAACCAAGCACACCAGTCAAAGTAAACTAATGCGAAGATCAGTTCGCGATGTCTTTGCCAAAACAAACTTTGTCGTTTTGTTTCGTTGAACCATTTGAGCCGCTACTTCATCCATGCGAATGTCAGTGCCTTCACTTAGTCCTCATCATTTCCAAAGAAAATTTGTCTACAAAAGCATATCCTTTACCTTGCTTACCTTCATTTCAATGCATGCCTTCTTAATTTTGGCATTTTTATGCTCATTCATTCAGACAATGGCTTTGCATCGTTTCGTACACTTTGAGTTGTTTTATTATGTGTCGTACAAATTACAGTGTTTCCTCAGTCCATAAAGAGAGAGACTAAAACCTTACAAATTAGATCACAAACGGTTTGCCAATGAAATGAGATGAAATTTTGCCAGTCTCAAAATAACATGAAAAATGACAACCCGAATAAAGTGGCGTTCCAGAAAACTCGTCAAAAAATTTGCTACAAAAAGATTAGTCTTAATTTCTTGCCTTTCTGTAAAGCAACGTTATAGAAATTACCTTACACCATTATGAGCTAATGACGGTCTGCAGACGTCCTTTGTCAATATCCAAGAGATCTGAACT